GTGGTTAAGGAGATGGAGCAGTGGAGCTCCTTGTTGCGTCGTCCATAGAAGCCGGCAAAATAGAGCTTAAACCGGAGGGACTTGGACGGAACGACGAGGAGATCTAGCGTGGCAGTGACGGTGTTAACCGGTGTGGCGGTAGCGGCGGCGCAGTGGACGGGTGGTAGGGTTGCGCAGTGGTGGCAGATGCACAATAGACGGGTGTATAGATCGAGAGAGAGAGGGGGGCAAAGGGTAATTGAGAGAAAGAGGATATGGTAATTTGGTCATTTAAGTATTTTAATATTTTATAATTAAAATTAATAAAATAGTGAAGGGTAAAGTAAATTTTTCACATGTTTTAAAGCTCTGTTTAGATGACAAATTTCACAAAAGGTGTGGTTGTCTAAAAATAGGTAAACTTGCATCTGCACAGCCTTACCCAAACTTCCAAGGGTGTCTCTGTACTTCACCCATTAAATTATAAGGAGGCAGGCATCAACCTAATCAATTACAGCCATAAATGGGTTGAATGTTAAATGAGTTGATCAACCAACACACAATCCATTGATCATTTGATCCGTGCATATAATTTATTTTATTTATTTTTTCATTTTTACGGTTTGCTTACAAAATTATGCTTATATATGACTTTTTGGATCAGTAAATCATTATCAACCCAGCCAATAATTTGATTAATTGGATGATGGTGAACTATTCTCTTAACTCTCTTACTCAATATATATATATATATATATATTCCAACTTATCAATTAATCAAATTATAATGATTAATTTATGTGCAGGATGTAATAATAATTTAGTCTACGGCTTTGTTAAAACAATATATCTGCGACAAAATAAGACCAAATTAATTACTTAGATTTGAGAAAAAGATATTTTAATTGACAAAATATGTCCAACTCCTTAAACTCATTAAATTTTAAGCAATAACATATCCTAAATTTAAAATGTATTTCAGCTGAAGTTTTTTTTTGGAAAATGATTCCCAAGCTAACTCACTTGTATAACATTGTTCAAGTTTGAATAATAATTATATTTGAGTCTAATTAAATGAAATTAGCCGATTTTAAATTATTTACAATATTAGAATATCCAAAAATTGTTACTTTATCTTTCATTCATATATTAAGCTTCTCAATTGTTTAGCAGAAATTTACTCAAAATATAATTTAATATATACGTATTGAGTATTGATCTGTTGCTCCCCATGGAGCAAGAAAATTCTTCCCTACGTTCTATAGTGACCATTAGATTTAATCTAATGGTCAAATTCCAAACCCACCTATATACTTTCCTTTTAATATAAAATCACTATTATTATTTCTAGTTTCTAAATTTAACATTTACTAATACCACTAATTACAACTATAAAAGGTAAGTACCAAACAAATAAAAATATAAATGGCTTCACCTCTGGAACGTCTCACCACCACTAATCGGAATTTTTATTTTATATGATGTCCTTGCTGTTACTTTGCATATTAGTAGTCTTTCATATGTTTTTTTGCTTACCAAAAAAAAAAAAAAAATGATGATAGTGAAAAAAAAAATGATGATAATGATAGCAGTATTAAAGAAAAAACTAAGAAAAATAACTAATTTACAATGAAAATCTGAAATTTCATAGAATAATATAATTTTTTGTCGTGAATCGCCTCATTATGTTAATAAATTTTTGTTATTATAGTAAAACTAGAAAAAAGATTTTGTACGACTTATTATGACATATAAATAATTGGAATGTATTTACAATTAATTAAAATCTGGAATAAAATAAAACAAAATTAATAAGAAAGATGAAACAATTTGAGACAAATGGGTTAGAGAATAATAGATTGAATTTCTAATTTTTAAATAGCATGTATTTAGGTATACCATAATTTAAATTGTGAAGGTGTTGTGCAAATCACAAGTTATCTTAAGTTAATCAAGTGGATAAAAAAATACAAGATCTTATTTTTAATGTTTGAATTATTTTTTTAGTTGATGTTTTGTATGTAAATAGTGTAATTGTTAATTTCTTTTTCACACTCAAACAATGCAATTCTCTAACACTTATAATTTTTTTTTTAAAGAAATTAAAATTCCTATTAGTGTGATGAGATGTGATTTCAAGAGATGAAGAGATTTTTTTTTTCAGTACTTACCTATTATTGTTATAATTAATGGTATTGGTAAATATTAAATTTAAAAATTTGAAATAGTAATAATGATTTTGTATTAAAACGAAAACATATAGGTGGGTTTAGAATGTGACTATTAGATTTAATTTAATGGTCACTATAAAAAGTGCGGAAAAATTTTCTTACTCCATAAGGAGTAAAAGATCACTCCTCTATATGTATTATATTTTATCAAATACTGCCATTGTTCAGAATCAAGTATTAAATTCACTTATCAAAAGTCTTTAAAAAAACGAATAATAACAAATAAGTCACAAGAAAATTTATTTTTCATAAATTTTTAAAAAATATAAATAAAAAATAATATTTTGACCATAACAAAAGAAAAAAGTGGTGGTCAGAGGGGGAGGCCATCCGGTTGGTACACAAGGCAGGAAGCCCATTCAACTCTCTTGCAACCAATGGACCTTCCTATGGGTTGGTCCATGTTTAACCCCATTGTCTTCATTTTGCGATTTGCATTGCCAACCCGTGGTGAGTTGGGTCCCTCTCTGACCTGGAGAAACTGCTGTGCGCCTATTGTTTTATGGAAGTGTGCATCGGCCTGCACCGGTGGCTCAAGAACCACGTCCGACCACTTTAACATCCCCGTTTGGTTACAAACTTGCGCTATTGGTTATTGGACTCTAGGAAAAATATAATAAGGCTAATTATTAAGAAAAAGGTTATGGTGTATTTTATTATTAAGAAGAAGGATTTTGTTAATAGTTAAATCTATAAAAATTTATCTTCTAAGCCGCAAGTGAGTCTTAACATGTATTCAAGTTTTTAATAGCCAAACACTGGATCACGATTGCCTTTGTTTACATATATATATATATATATTGTGTGTGTATGCATATTTGATTTGCACGGTTAAGAGATGTGTTAATCCTTTTTCTTTGCTGAACCACATTCTACATCTAAGAATTATGCCTTATATATATATATCATGCTTAATTTATATGGAGGAAATAATAATAATTTTCAGAGAGATAGAACCAGGCTAAACGTGATTATGATAGAACCATGCTAAACGTGATTTCTTTTGGGGCACATATTTGGACAGCAACCCGTTAAAAAATGGTGATATCTTATTATTATTATTATATTTAACAAAAAATGGTGATATCAACCAACAGAAAATGAAATATAATTAGTATTAATTTTCTGTTAAAAGACTGCTAGATATGTCACAGTGCATGAAATGGTCTCTCTCGATAAATTTAATATTTTCCTGAAGTGCTTGTGGAATTGTGATCGAGTACTTATAATTTTGTAATATTTTTTTATATGAAATTTTGATTTTTACACATGGGTGGATGTGCCTATTCAAAAATTTTGCTGATCTATATGATTGATCCTGCTTGACTTTGGAATCTCTATGTTTTTACTATTATCACTTGGAGAGTATTTTGGTTGACCTTATTTTTTTATTTTTTCTTTTACTTTTATTTTTGCTATTATAATAAAATTTAATTATAATTTTTTCTGATTTAGTCATCCATTATGTCATTTTTTTTCTGTTATATATGTATTTTACACTTGAGTTAATAACCGTGTCACAATTCATTTAATTTAAAAGTGTTGCATATATTATTAAACGGGTCGTGTGTGTTGTTAGTTATTTAATTCATTTATTAAATGAGTTACATGATCATACTGTATTATTTGTTTAATAAAAAGGTTGTGTTCATGTCAAGGAGACGAGTTGTAATTGATTGACTTATTTTACAAAATACTACTTATATTCCCTAATAGAAGTGACAATTAATTAATTAATTTTTTATTTTTTGGTGGAATTGGACCGATGAGATGGGCCATTTGAATTTGAAATTGGACAGATCAGATGGACCATTTGAAATGAAACGGTAGAAATAATATTACTCTTTGATGTTAATCACGTGAAAATCTATAATATGTCGAGATATTATACACTCGAAGTTTTCATCATTAAATGTGGCTATGGAACCCATATGATAGATAATCCAACAAAGAGGGGCCGAAATACCGTACCCCTAAGGTATTGTAAACTTTCTCGTTGACTAGAATCAGAATTAAGTTATCCAAAACTTTAATCAGTGATTTCACGATATGAAGCTGAAAATTGCTAACATCATAACAATCAGTTTTTGAGAAATCAAATTGCAGAGTAAGCCATGGTGGTTAATGGTAATTCAAGTGATGATTCTTAGATAGAATGACCACCAAAGGACACTGTTTTGTGTTTTTCTCATTTAGATTTTTGCACATTAAAAAATTGTTGCTACCATCTCTATTATTGCTTTATTTGCTCTTAACTTCTGTGATTAACTGGATTAAAATAAACAAAAAAATTGGCATTTGACAAAGTTAAAGTTAGCCATTTAAAATAAAAAATAAAAAATAAAAAACACACACACACACGCACTACTGTAACTCTTAGTCAATTTTAATAAATGAAAGGTATAAATGGGTACATATGTGATTTAACACATATGTATTAAATTAAAAAAATAATAATAATAATAAAGCTTTTTGATATGGTTTGAATTTCGTGAAGTATCATAGAATTTTTTGCAATTGTGTTACTTATGCATGGATGTGATGTGAACCCAAAATTGCAAACTACAACATACTAAATTTTATTTATTTATTAATTTTCTTGTTTATGCAAAATAATGCACAACTCTATAACAAGGAATTTTCTAATATTTTAACTATTTTACAAAAGTAAAATGATTATTGCGTGAATAATTGCAATGAATTGCTACACCTACTCTTTTAATTGGTCATATTTAATTATATATGGTATAAATAACTAATTAAAAATTATTTAATTATGTAATTTACTGCAAGTGTTCGGTGTCTATATCACCATTCTTTACAAAATTACCTAAAAAGAAATTCAAAGTTGGTGTACAACAGAAAGTTACCAAGACTCTGGGTGTCCATTACCCTCACTGTTGAGTACAGAAGCAGCCTCAGCCGTCCAAAACTCTCCCTCCCTTCCCTGATTCAACAACTCACTACCAATCTCCTCATCGTCGTCGTCCTCTGAATCTTCGCTGTCAAACAAATTATCTAAACCATCATAGTCATCGTCATCATTGTCGTCAAGATCATAACTGCTGACAGTTTCATCATTAGAGTCGTCTAAATAATTGCTAATGCTATTCTTTTGTCTCCACTCTCTCCTCATCCTCTTCCCTTCCCTTACCAATTCCATAAGCCGGTCTTTTATAACAGATATTTCATCCTTCTCCAAGAGTGCACCATTGTCATCGTAACCCTCCACTAGAAAGACAGAGTCTCTCTGCCCCTTCAAACTCACATAGAACAACTCCGGGTGCCTCACCAGCATCCCTCTCAACTTGTTTGGCAACCCGAACTCTTTCCTGAAATGTGTCAAGTGGTCTACCAAAGTCCTCTTCTCAACCGTCATACCTAACATCTCCCTCACCACAGCACAAGCCCTCTTCTCTGCTTCAATGGACTCTTTCGCCAACTCTTCCAATGGAGTCTTATAAGGGCACACATCAGGCATTTCTTCAAACTTGATCAGAAACTCCTCATGACGTCTCTTCACATTCAGCCCCTTTCGAAGTCTGAGCTTCTTAAATTTTAACGGCCTGTCTACAATCAATCCGTGGGATTTAACTTCAGGAGATGGTAATGGGTTGGCAAGGTTTGGGTCCCAATAGACTAGCTCAAGCGCGCGGCCATAGGAGGTGTCAACAGTCTTGAATTTATCCGGGTGGCTGTTGCAGAGGCAGGATCGAAAATTAGGATGGAGGCCAAGATCTGGGGCAAGGTGAACCAGCTTTGACAAGACAAGTCGGCGATGAGATGAAAGCATGAGAAGTTTCTGGACCTTTGTGGCCAAGGAGATGGACATGGAAGATTTGAGATTAGATTCTTGAGTGGCAAGAGCTGCTGCAGCTGGGGTAAGACGGACACAGAGTTGAGAGTACGGTTTTGTCGCATTGAGTGGAGTTTGAGGAGTCGGAATTCTGAAGAGTTCAAAAAGGGATGGATAACGATGGATCATCGAGAGGAGGGAGCGTGGCTTTGAAAGGGCGAGGTAGGAGCGACATTTGGAGAGAATGTGGATTGGCATGTAGTGCTTTGGTTTCGAAAGGAGCAGGGTTTTCAGCTTCTGCACAAAACGAATCTTGTTTTGTTTCACCACATGCCTGTCTAATATTGGGTCGCGCACAATCTTGACAGATGAACAAGTGATTGGAGAAGAGAGGATTTTTAGGTTCCCGTTACTGCTATAAATTCTGTTATTGGCATTAGGTTTGGACAAAGGCACCGGAGGAAGGAAGCTCGAGTTGAGAGAAACAATGGGCCAATTCTTTTGGGGTGACAAAGGTGTAGGCGTAGGCATAAGCATAGGCACAAGCAATGCCATTTTTGGGGATTGTTTAACAGTTTACAAAGAAGCTCAGAGAGCCTGCAGAAACCGAATTGATTCCTTCAATGTGAAAAAGAAAAATAGGCGGAAACTACCATTTATAATTGAGAAGCCCAAGTCTTCCAGTGCTGTCTCTGAATACATTGAAGCAATAGGACACCATATTATTCACTTGCTATATTTCGTCGACAATGAATCACACAACAGAAATGGTGACACACCATACCTGCAAGTGTAAGAGAAGCAAACTCCCTTGTGAAACATCATACTATAACAAACACAAATGGCTTTAAACATAAGCTTCAATTGTTGCCTTTAACTTGTCAGCTAAACATTTCATCAAACACTTGGTGGGCAGAAATGTAAGTAGTGTATAAATATGCACAAAGTCTCGACTAATAAAAAACAAATATAATAAGAAAAGCTTCAACTTTCTAACAAATAAAGAAAGTTAGACACCGTTTGTCCTAATCTGTCTATTTCAACTTTGAGATGGTGATGACATTCTGGATTTTGAGTCAAGATAAGGGCGCTGTTATTGGCTCTCGGAAAATAGTGGGCTTGTGAGTGGCAACACAATTTAATTTATTTATACTTTTCATAACTCATTTTGTTTTTGGGATTTTCTTTCTTAGATGGTGACTTTGTTCCAGAATGCTACATTTAGGGATGATTGATAAAGCGCGGGGACCATATGTTCTTCTTTTGCTTTGAGGTGGCAAATCATATTTTGTAGGAGCGTCGGGTTGGCGGGTCGGATTGGTGTACGTGTCAAGACATGGTCATTCTATTAAATGAGCCGCTACGATTATTATTCATGTCAAGATTTAATTTTGACATGATTAAGGCACGATTATACACGGGTAATGCAGTACCACTCGAAATGTTTAAGACATGCTTAAGTCATTTTTGATACGAATAGAACACGTTTAGTTAATCGATTATAAACGGATTGATTAGTCAAATACGAACACAGCACATTTAATTATTGTATCAATACGGGTTAGCACAATTATGACCTGAAACACGATTAAACCAAACTCAAACTCAATTATTTTGTATCGGTGTTCGAGTCGTGTTTCAACACTACCAAGGAACTTGTGTGGCCTAATAATATCTCATTTACCTCTTAAAGTGAATGTCAAGGGTTTGAGTTCCAAAGAACAAAATGGGTGTTTAAGTATATCAAACAAATCTCAAGAAAAATAAGTGAAATTTACCATTTTCTTTTAAATATAAAGAAATTCATGATATCCAATTGTTACACAGTGATGTTATAATAATGAAAATGTCTCTTAATATAAATTTAAATAAATTTAAGTTTTCTCTAAAATAAATTTTATTTAAAATTTTCTTTCCTTCTTAATTTTTTTTTTTTAAAAAAATAAAATTTATGAAAATTTTTACAATTACACACTATGAAAGTGATGTTATAATAACGAAAAGTAAGTGTAATTTAAAATGATTTTAACAAATAAAAATTTATGAAAATTGTTCAGAGCACCATTAAAAAAAAAATGTTTCGAAAATAATTTCTAACCATACCCTGTCTTTTATTCTTATAATAAAGGGCACCATTTTAATCTTGTCATAACTAAAAATAAAACAATGCTAAAGATAAAAGCCCAAAGTGGTGGGTTTTGGGAGTGGTCAATTCATGTTTGTAATTATTTTCTTGTCATGTTTCAATGAAATAAGGGTATTATATCCTCCCCCCTCAAATTGACTAATTTGTTAGTTACACATGTGATGTGTCACATTTTTATTCCATTATTGAACATTATTTATTATACAACTATAGTGATTGTATCACCAAAACAGAAGTATGAGTACAAAATGATGGGTAAATTGCATTAATTTTTTTTTTTAAAAAAAAAAAATTCAGAACTAGCTGCAAAATGGTACCATAATGACAAAAATATTATTTAGTATAAATTTAAAATTTAAATTTCTTTAAAATAAATTTTATTTTAGATTTTCTTTTGGTTTTTAATATTAAAAAAAAATAGAACTATACTAAAATTTTAAAAATTACACACCATTCAAAAGATGTTATGAGCTTATAATGTCATAAATTACACTTAATATAAATTTAAGAAAAAAATAATTTTTTCTTCTAAATGGTCTTCGTTTTTTATTTTCTTTTCCTATTAATTATTTTTAAAAAATAAAAATTGTTCCAATGTATTTCCTTTTCTTAGAAAGCACTAATATTTTTTTTTTCAAAAATAAAATTTTACAATATTGTGCCGAATGAGTTATTTGCATTAATTTTAAGTTTAATATTAGTTAAGTGTGTTTGATAATTCAATTTGAATATTATTTTAAATGATAAGCATTAGTTAAAATGAAAATAAAATTATGAGGAGTGCTAAACACAGTCGCACTTGCGATTGTGGATCCACAGTCGCACTTCCTATTGGATAGCTTTAAATGAATTCAACTTTCTATCTTTTTACAGTTGGGTTTTAAATGGATTTGACTTTTTTGGTTTTTACGGTTGTGTTTTAAATGGAAGTGACTGTGAATTGGTTAAAAAATAAGTTGTAATTAATGTGTCGTTCCTATTTTTTTTTGGAATTATAAAACTTCAACTTTATGACCAAATTACCTTTTAAAATTATTTTCTCTTTCTTTATACCTAATAACCTTCCTTCTTTCCTTTGTTACATATATTTAACTTTATTTATTTATTTATTTTAACAATTGTCTTCTTTTTTTTCGTCTTTCTTTCTGGGATATATATGGCTATACTTTATTCTTTACTTACTTTCTTTCTTTTTTGTTCACTTGTCTTTTTTATATATATATACATGTTCCACTTTGATGGATTTTTTTTATTGGATTTTTTGTAATTTAATTGAAATAACTGTATGATATTGAGTTTTAATTGAAGTAATATTATAAAATTTGAGTTTTAGTTAATATATGAGATAAGAGAAGTATTGTTTTCTAATCTATTCACAGTATGTTTAACTACTATATATATATATATATATGTATATATAAAATAAAAGAATTGAAAAAAAAAAAAAAAGAAGAAGGAAAGAAGCAATCAATTCACAAAAAATTATAATATTTTTTTTCTCTCTCTTTATCTAAAGAAGATGAAACAGTGAGAAATCATTTTACACAGTGAGCATATATATATAGTTAAAAACTATTGAAAGAGAGAGAGAAAAAAAATAAAATAGGTATACAAAGAAAAATAAAGGTTATATATATATACATATAGACACACGTATATACGTACAAGTAGGACAGAAAAAAAATAAAATAAAATAAAAAAAGGATAATTTGGTTTTAAAAGTTAAAGTTTTATAATTTCAAAAAATATAAAAGAAGAATTAATTACAATTTCTATGATTGAGTTTTTCAACCAATTAGATGTGTCAGAGTCGCTTCCATTTAAAACACAATCGTAAAAAAATGGAGAAGTCAAATCTATTTAAAACCTAATTGTAAGAAAATAAAAAGTTGAATTCATTTAAAACTATCCAATAAGAAGTGCGAGTGTGAATCCACAGCCGTAAGCAGTCCTCCTATTATTCCCTTTTTCAAATTCACGTTTTAAAATTATGTTGTAACGAAAGCGCTTACGTCAGCACAGCACTAGCTTTTGTCCATTGACCTGACCTACCATTACCAGGCTCACTCCAGTGGAGCAAGCGAGCAACACATCTCTGCTCTCTCTCTCTCTCTCTCTATAAATACACTTCTCTTTTCTCTCTGGCGTCTACGCACGCACACAGAGAACACAGAAACCAACAACAGAGAGAGAGATGTCTACAGTGAGAAGAATTAAGCTGGGTACACAAGGTCTAGAGGTGTCAGCTCAGGGACTGGGCTGTATGGGCATGTCCGCCTTCTACGGCCCTCCGAAGCCCGACCAAGACATGATCGCCCTCATCCACCATGCTGTCAGCGCCGGCGTCACCCACCTCGACACCTCCGACGTCTACGGCCCTCACACCAACGAAATCCTCATCGGCAAGGTACGATACCTTTTCCAATTTGCTTCAATACACCATTTTTTCCGGTGAATTCTGTAGATTGGTATGCGAGAATATCCAAATCAAATCACCAAATGTGAGCAATTTGATGTTTGATTGGCGCAGGCATTGAAGGGAGGGATGAGAGAGAAAGTGGAATTGGCCACCAAGTTCGGCATCAGCTTTGTGGATGGGAATACCTTAATCAATGGCGATCCGGCCTATGTGAGAGCGGCTTGTGATGCCAGTTTGAAGAGGCTCGACATCGATTGCATCGATCTCTATTACCAGCATCGCATCGACACTCGAATCCCTATCGAAGTCACGGTTAGCCCCTTCTTGCCTCTGTCTCTCTGTCTCTCTCTGTTTGTGTATATATATATCACAGAAATGATAAATATTGGTGTGTTTGATTCATTTCAATGTACATTAGAGATTCATCTGATATTTTCTTTTCACTATTTTTAGGGAAGGATAGGTAAGCAATTATTTAACTATTGTTCAAATGAAAGCAAGGAATTGTTTATTCTTTAAGTCATTATTGTGTGCAAAATGAAAGATAAGGAATTGCTATTCTTCAGAAAAAATATGGATTGAGTACATAAAATTGTTTGCACCCGAGGAGAACCTTAGACTTAATGCTTCGTGAGGCACCAGAGTCGAATGACTTACCCACTTGAGCCAACCCCTTGGTACTTAATTTAGTAAATAAATTTTGTATAGGCTTCAAGAGCATGTGTCTAACCAATTACATGTATTCAAACAGTTACTCATCACTCCCACTATGATGACTTTTGGGACATTTACAAATTCTGACTAAGTTGATTTTAAGATCTCTACATCAAATGCCATTCGAGAGACCTTGAGGGTACGATTGAAGGCGTAAGCTAACACTGAGTGCGCCCTCATAATAGATTTGTTCTTTTGATTTTGTAGCACATCCTCATTACCCTTTGATTCCATATACCTCCTCATAATCTGATTGTTATTGTGCTGCCCTATATTATTAGATAGACAAGAGAGGTATTTTGCCACAAGACAAAAAAAAAAATGACGTTTTCTAGGTCACCAACTCCAAATATTTGTAATCATTTGTACACTTGGATTCACCTTGGAATTAACATCATTATGATCGGAATTGTTCTGATTGTGTAAGAGAAAATTTTCCATGTTTTGTAATAACCACCATGGTCCACTTTTTTAATGTTACTTCACATTGTTCTGACCAATGGAAAAGAAAATTTGGCATTTGGTAGAGATCATTTATCATGAACACATTACTTATCCAAAAATATTATCTCATTAACACATTACTTATCCAAAAATATTATCTCATTAACACATGCAATCATTTTCTTTTATTATAAGCAGAAGGCATTCAATCTTAATGTCGTTTCCTAGTTTTAAAAGTTGTATCTTTTTTTTTTTTCCCCCGAACAAGCTTCTTATTCACCTTTTCTTAATCCTTTTTAAAATGTCCTTTTGCAAGATGGGAGAGCTCAAGAAACTGGTTGATGAGGGTAAAATAAAATATGTAGGTCTATCTGAGGCCTCAGTTTCAACAATCAGAAGGGCCCATGCTGTTCATCCGATAACAGCTGTGCAGTTGGAGTGGTCTCTGTGGGCGAGAGATGTGGAGGAAGAAATAATTCCTACTTGCAGGTGAGA